TTACAGAAACAGACTGTCACATCTTTCTCCCAAGAGCACCTGATGGGTTCTAACCACAGACCTTTCAGTTAGCAACCCAGAGCTTAACCACTGAGCCACCAGGGCTCCTTAATGTAAGTTTAGCACATTGTTAAGGGACAAGTGATAATGCCTACTTAACCTTTATCTGACTGGCCTGTCCTTAGTTTGACACAGATATATTAATTCAGGGCGTAAAATGATTCAAGTTTAATAGTGACCTTATATGTTTCCTAAAACTCCATAAATGTGTTTTGAATTGACTTCACTGTCTTATGTCTTTAACTTTCTTAGGCCTTCCCCCTCAGTCTGAATGCACTAAGGGCCAAACTGCATGACTTCCATGACTGCTGGCTTTTGTGTTAGACTGGCTAATGTCTAGTCTCAATATTTGTCAAGTAAAGGTGAAGAGATATTAAATAGTTGAACTGTCTTTAATTTTTATCTTGGAGTTTTATTTTCTAAGCTATCAAACAAACCTTGCATTTTAACTTTACCAAGATACTTTTTATAACCAGCACTAAATGAGTTGGAATTGACTCAGTGGAAACTAACAACAAAAAATTTCGTTATTTATTTATTTTTAATCTTAGGTTAAACATATTGCTGAAGATCCTCCTTGTAGCTGTTCTCATCGATTTTCCATTGAGTACTTATCTGAAGGACGGTACCGACTAGGGGATAAAATACTCTTTATAAGAGTAAGTCCGCAATTTATATTCTATTTTAAGTACAAATACTGTTTTGAAATTGGGTTTATTGCTTTTCCAACCTCCTTTTGCTTCCTTTTTACTTTTTTAAAAATTGCAGTAGAGGGTGTTATTAAGGGAAGAATTTTACTGTACAGGAAAAATATAGAATACTTGCTTTCCTGAGTATATAATCGGTTTAGATAAAAGCTTTAACATAACAAACAACTAACTTTAGGATAGCTCGGCATATTTAGACATTGCGTATAATTGAGGGGGAATCTTTGTTCACCTCAGGTAACTTACTCAATTTTTCAAATTTTCTGTAAAGGAGTAATTTTCCATTTTCCATCATAAAAAGAAGAAAGAAAAAAATACATCTTAATAGGATTAAATATCAGTAGTACAGAAAGGAAATAGAAACATTATGCTTTGTAATATATACTTTGGGCCTGAAGTATAAAACTTTTTTCTCATTGACATGGCATCAGTATGTGTGCCAGGATGCTGATACACATGTTCGTGTTCTTCTGTTGTCTCATCTGCAGTCGATTAATTACCTCCTTTGCTAATACGGAGATTCAAGTTTCACCTGTTCAGCATTTTGTCCTCTCCTGATACAAGAGCTGTTTTATTTCCAATTTACAAACATA